TTCAACAGGATGGCCCCCAACTTGTAATGTTACCTTGGGCTCCCGGGGGCCTAATCTGTAGTAACCCTGACCCTCTCATTCAGTGTCTTCCAGGAGGATGAGGTCCTTAGGTTTCTGTTGAGTCCCCCCTTGGGGCAGTCTTTCTTCCAATGGCCATATTCTTTGCAGTAGGCACATTGGTTAGGGTCAAGAAGTGGCCGGGATCGTTGCCTAGGTCTCCGTGGGGTTGGCCCTATGTTTTTAGGCCTATTTCCCCATTGCCCTTTTTGATTCTCTTGAAGAGCGGCTATGATTACTCTTGTGACTTTTTTAGTATTGGCCGTTTCTGGGTCGTCCCGGTTGTTAAATACTCTCTGAGCTATTTCAACTAACTCACTAAGATTCTTTCCTTCAAAACCCTCTAATTTCTGGAGTTTCTTCCTAATGTCTGGGGCCGACTGGGTGACAAAAGCAATATTAATTGTCCGTCTATTCTCAGGGCCTCTGGGTCTATGGGAGTAAAGAGGCGATAAGCCTCCATGAGACGTTCAAGAAAGGCCGCTGGGGATTCCCCTGCGGTTTGAACAGTCTCGCTTACCTTAGACAGATTAGTTGGCTTTTTGGCAGCTCCACGGAGGCCCTGGAGTAGAGATCGAGATATTGGGTTAAAGCCTCCTTACCTTGATCAGTGTTTGGGTCCCAATTGGGTCAGGTAGTTGGGAGGTAGGCTCCTATTTGGGCCGGATCTGTGAGGGGTTGGCCATCTGGCCCAAGGACAGATTTTGCTGCCTCTCTGTGGATCCTGTCCCTCTCCTCGGAGGTGAACAGGACCTGCAACAATTGCTGACAGTCATTCCAAGTGGGCTGATGGGTGTGGAAGACTGTCTCTAGGAGAGAGACTAAACCTTGGGGTTTATCAGAGAAGGAAGGGTTCTGTTGTTTCCAATTATACAGGTCGCTAGTTGAGAAGGGGACATAAACCATGAAAGGCTGAGTCTGGTCTCCACCCGGTGGTGGAGCAACCTGACGGAGGGGCAGGATGGCAGCCGAGGAGTCTGGCGCCTGTGGGGGAGGGTTAGAAGGGGTGCCGCCACGTGTATGGGGAGGACTGAGCGGCTGAAGGGCTTCAGCAATGGTGGCGGTGGCAGTGGCCGATAAGGGGGTGGCCCCAAAGGGTAAGTGAGGGGGTCTTCTGGGGGACCTGAAAGAACAGGGTAACGCCTTTGGGAGGGAGCAGGAGCCGAGGGCTTCTGAGGCTTCCGCGGAGGCTGGGCTATTAAAATCTTCTCCCTGTTAGGGCAGAAACATTTCTTAATATAATTAGACTTGTCAGTAGCTATGTCAATCCAAACACTGATGTAAGGAGTTTGGTCTGGGTGTCCGGGAGTCCTGTAGATGACGCCTCGAACTGCAAACAAAGAGCTTAAGTGAAAAGTGCCCTGGGAGAGCCAATTGACCCGGATAGTGGGCCACTCCAATTCGCACAAAGTGCGCAAGAATCCAGGGTCTGCTGAGATGCTGTAACCTGAGGCACACTTGGAAAAGTCTGAGAAGTTATTAAGGAGAGACTGAAGAGGGGGGTCCTAGGTCCTGAAGGTCCCTGACCCATTTTGAAGGACACAGGCCGGCACAGCACAGAAACACAAAACACAAAAGGACAAACAAATAAGACAGACAAAAAAAACAGACAAACCGAACCGGGGCCAAAAGCAACGTCTCGCTATGGCCCTGGGGCTGGATCTAGGTGCTGCGTCCAGCAGATTCACTTCCCCTTACTCTGCAGAGTTTTCAGAAACAGGCTTACCAAGGGACGTCCCATCTGCTGAACCGAACCTGGGCCCAGGGTTTCCAGATGCTCTCTAGGTGGAATTTGGAGTGGAGACAATTCCAGGGCAGAATGGCGTCCAGGGCGGAGGAACATCTCTCTGAGGCCTTCCCCTAGACCACCCGTCCGCTCCTGGGATGGACCTGTCTCCCGGAGTCTGAGGTCAACCCGCTGATGTGGGGGACATCATTTGTCTATCTCGCTGGGGCCTCCAAATGTTGTAGACTAACGAGATAGACCAGATTCAGACTTCAAACTGGGTTCAAATTAAGAGAGCTTTATTAGCCACGTGGTGACTGTCCCATCCTACACAGAGGAGAGAGCAGCCCCGAGCTCAGGGGGTGGGTTGCTTATATAGTAGTCTTAGCCCCTGTTAAGGGTTTGCGAGCAAGCTAGCACATACAGAAGCAGATATTTGTAATTAGCTGTTATGCCTGAGGGAGCAAGCAGTTTCGGTGTACACAAAGCAATGGTTATCTATACAATGCAGTGGTTATCTATTAGCAGCTAGTTCTTGCCATTCTCTTAAAATCCAGCGGGTAAGGTCTGCCTAATGGGAAAAAATTTTACTGTACATTCACATAGCATGCGTTTGTCCTTTACAGGTTCAGTCCCCAGTGGGGGGTGTGCAGGAAGCAGCCAATTGATGTTTCTCTTTTACATCGATGTTTCTATCTCTCTCCCTTTCTCTCTCTCTCTCAAAAATCCAGTATTTATTTTTTAAGTAGAAGGGCTCAGAAAACACCGCCAGCCACCAGCCACCAGCCACCAGCCCATGTGTAAAGAGTTGTTTGTCATGGTAACTAAAAGGCCCTTTGGAGGGGCTTAGAGACTCCAGCCCAGCTGGCTCAACCTTGCATTGGAAGGGCAGTGGGAGTTAGCATCGCCAAGTTCCCTGGGTGTGGAATATTCACCACCATTAGTCTGATGCTGCAATGAGCTCACTCCACTACACCACATCAAAGGAGGGGTTGAAAGTCTCTAGGCCAGGGCCAATGGGGGTTCCTTTGGAAGAAAGTCCCTCTCCCATGGGAGGGGAGGAGGCTGACCGCAGGTGGACTGGTGGGGCTAGAGGGTCAGATTATCTTTTCCCTGTCTCCTCCCCTCCCAAGCTTGCTGGGCTTTCCAGACTCTACCCCATCCCTCACAGGAGACATCTTGGGATAATAATAACCATATAACAAAGCACAATGGCCCTTCCTGTGAGCCAGACTAATGCTTTAACCAGTTACCTTGTTTACTCCTCACAACAGCCCCTCTGAGACGTTAGGTAACTTCCCTAAGGTTACTAAGAGCTGGTAAGTGTCAGGGCTGGAGCCTGACCCCTGTCCGAGCTTGGGGTCCTCACCAAAAGCTGTGTTTTGCTGGTTTTGGGGTCTCTCTCCCCTCCAGGCAGAAAGAGGAGTGCAGGAAGGACTCTGACTCCTCCTGAGGGCCTCAGGATACACTGAGAACACTAAGGGGCTGCTCAATTGTGAGGAGGTGACAATTTCTAAGATTGTTCGATGAGAAGTCTGAGCAGGGTAGTCCCTCTGGCCTCACAGTTATGGAAGCAGGAGTTCTAACTGGGGAAGGACTATGGGCAGAGAGGAGAGAGGGGAGCTCTCTCTGTCTTACACTGATAAGGCCAAGCTTCCAGCCTTCCCTCTGCAACTCTCTACTGGCAGGGTCCACAGGTCTCAGCCCAGGTGAGTGGAGTTGCTACTTCACCACTGCACAGAGACTGAGTGCAGGACGACTTGCAAGAGCACTTTGTTTTCTGGGCAGCGGATTTGATTTTGCTGCCCTGAGGCTTGGGGTAGTGGCCTCTACTTCCCCGTTCTCTATCTCCCTGCTTGCTTCCCTTCTTCCCCAGGCAGACAGGCAAACACAAACACACAAGCCCAAGCCACATTTTTAATTTTTTAAAAAAGTAATAAAAAAAGAAGGAGCAAAAAGACTGGGTGTGCAAGCCTGTGCCACTGCAGGGGGAACACTGCCCAATCTCTCTACAGCAGAAAAGTTCCTGGGAAGTCCAGGGTTCAAGACTAAAGCCTCCCTCAACAATACCCCCCTATTCCTCTGGGGTGCCTTAGCACTCCCCTTCCCTCCTCCAGTCTGTAGACTGGGAGACTGAGACCACCCCCACCTACCTGCCCTTGTAGGGGTTGCATCCACCCTGCAATTCAAAAAGTTTTTTGGGCCCTGGCCAGTTTGGCTCACCAACTGAGCATTGGCCCGTGGACCAAAGACTTGTGGGTTCAGTTCCAATCAAAGGCATGTACCTTGGTTGCAGTTTGTCCCCAGGCAACCAGTCGATGTCCCTCTCATGTGATGTTTTTCTCTCTCTCCCTTTCCCATCCTCTGTCTCCTTCCCACTCTATCTGAAGATAAATAGTCTCCCTCCCACTCTATCTGAAGATAAATAGAAAAATATCCTTGGGTGAGGATTTTTTTTTTTAGTTTTTTGGTTGCTTTCCTGCCCTTTTTTACCATCAGGATGGGTGAGAGAGGATGGGCTGCAGAGGGAAGCACAGACTTAAACCGCTGCCTAGTCACACTTGCAGTTTCCCTTCTTAGAATCCCACCAGAAGTTCCATGGTTTCCTTGGGGGGGGGGGGGTTTGCTGCTTTCTCTTTTCTCTTCTGCCAGCTCTCTGCCTCTGGCCGGCTCTCTCCTCTGTGCTTCTCTGCGAGTTCGCCTTTCAGCCTGTCTCTCTCTGCTTTGGATCCTTGGTCTGCCTCTCACACATGCCTCTAGACCTCTTTCACCCCTTAAGGAAAATGGGGGGGATAAACTCAAGAAGAGGGAAGCCTCACCCACCCAATCTCTTTCTTACCAACTCCCCCCACCCCACCCCACCCCCACGAACTCCGGCAACCTCCAGATGTTCTCCACCATGCGGGCCATCTGCTGAGATTGCTCAGGCGCTCCGAGGAGGAGGCAGGGATTCGGGTTCCTGGAAGCTGGGAGCAAGGCCGACTAGAGTGGGCGGGAGCTACGTACGCACTTTTGAGACACTCCCTAGGGTGGAACCCGGGCTCGGCGCGGGCTCCGCGGGCAGGCGGCGGACGGGAAGCGCTCCTGGAAAGGCCCGCAATTTGGCGACACTCCCTAAATCTCCCGGCCGCCGGCCGGAGCCGCCACTGGGCGTCGGGCGGGCGGAGGGTTCGCCCGGCGGCGGGCGGGGACGGGGGGCGGGCCGCGCGGCGCTGAGAAAAGCGCCGGCTGAAGGGCCCGCGGCGGGGCCGCCTGGGTGAACGTGCCGAGGCGGCTGCGGCGCAGGCTTCCAGGTGGGTGCGGATCCCCGGGCGGAGCGCGACTCCGGGATGCGGGCGAAAGTCCGGATCCCCGATCTCAACCTGGCCGCCCCATTCGGCGGGCAGGCAGCGCTGGACAACGGGGCGGGGACGGGGGCCTCTTAACTTTTCCTGGACCCGGGTGTCGGCAGCGGCCGCCGGACGCCCAGGGCTCGGCCGGAGTGGGGATCCCAGACCTGGGGGAGAGGGCTTCAAGGAGACAAAGGCTCGGGCCGGGGCGCCTATGGGGTCTTTGTGCGGACACGTGCATCTCGCGTTTGTGGGCCTTTGTGGATTTGAGTTTGGGGACGTGCATCTGCTTGCGCTTTTGTGTGCCCGCGGCTGTGCGTGACTATTTCGTGCTTGTGTCCACGTTTTGTGGGCCCGCGTTAGGTTGTGGGTGTTGCTGGGCGCATCGTTGTGTGTTCGCGTACAAGGTCTGTGTCTGTCGACGTGTCTGGTTTGGGTGTCCGTGGAGTGTGTGCGCGGAGAGCCAGACACCGCCCCCAACTCCTCGCTCCCCTGCTGTCCACCCGGGCCCCCGACTTGGCTTCAAACTTTTCTCCGGGTTCCTTGGGCAGCAGCCCCGTCCTCTCCGCTGAAGCCCGGGCAGGGGGCGCTGGCAGTCCTCCCCTCTTTCATCTCCTGGGGTCGGTAGAGCCCCGAGGGGATGAGCTAGGACCGGCGTGGGGGGGGGGGGGGTCGGCAGCGCCTGGAGACTGACCCGGGCCAGGGCGTGGGGAACGTGCCGGGCACCCTTGCGGAGCCAGCTCGGGCAGAGAGGGAAGCGGCCGGCCTTGGGCCCCGGCCCGGAGCAGAGCAGAGGAGAGGAGAGGGTTGCTGGTGTTGCCCGCCCCGAGCTTCTCGGAGAGAGGGTGTGTGACCGAGAGAGACACGTCTGCTGAGCAGAGGCGGCCCTAGTCCCGGCTCCGCTTTGAGATCCGTTCTCCTGCGCCGGGGTAGGGGGTTGGGGGGCAGCCTTATGATCCCATAGGTGAGAAGGGGTAGCTTCTCCGGGTCCGGGCCTCTCCGCCGCTCTGGCTCCAAGACCCCCATTTGGACTGTGGGAAGTTAGAAACCTTGCACTTACTGGTTCCGAATGGGCCGGCCACTGGCCCACAGAACGGCATTGGGCAAGTTACTCAGACTGTTATGGATGAGAGTGAGAGCACTCCCTCGTGGTGCCCACCATTTGATCGGATAGCCAGGGCAGCCTTCGCCAGCCGGCCTGAGAACCAGTGCCGCCCACTTGGCCCTGGGCGAGAAGGTGCCTCAGGAACCTCTCTGATCCTTCCTCCCTCCCTGCTTGCTCTACCGGAGACGAAGTCCAGGCTTGCAGAGCCCAAGTCTGACCTGAGAAGGAGGGCTCAAGCACGGGAGCCTGCTGGGCTTTTGATCCTGAGTGGCAAAGATAACCCCAACACCTTCCCACCCCCTGCTCTGCCCCAGTCTTAAACCTAGAATTTTGCCAGACGCTGCAGACAAGAAGGAGGGGCACACGCCACGCCACTCGGGAGGGAAGGAGGCCACCTTGCGCACTTTCTTTTCCCTCCTGGGCCTCAGTTTCCTGTCTGGGAAGAGAGGTGTTGACAGCCTCTCTCCTCCCTTCCTGTCTGGCTAACTGGTTTCGACCCCAGAACCTGGAAACACTTTGATATTTCTTTTCTCACACACCTTCATTTTGACATGAACAATTCCAGGCACTAATTTGCTCTTTTGAAGAGGGAGAGGGGAATGGCTTTGAAGTTAGGGAGGGATGGAATGAGGTGAGCCAGGAGCCTCTGGAGCCCAGGAATGCAACTACCTGGGGAAGCCTGGTGAATACACCCTGGAGGTAGGAAGTGTCTCCCACAGAGGGAACAGCACTGCACAGCTCTGTGTGTTCTTATAACAGCAGGGAGGTGGTCAGCATTGTGGACCCTCAGATTGGGGTGGATTAAAATTCAACTTGAGTCTGGGAAGGCAGGGGCCAAATATGAAGGCCTTGAATGCCAGGCCTAGGAGCTGAGGTTTGAACCTGTAGGCAGTAGGGAGCTGCTGGAGGGTTTAAACAGATGTGACAGGGTGGGATTGGTAATTGTAAGACACCTTCCTTTGGCTTGTTGGTGCTGGAGACTGGGAGACCAATCTGAAGGTTGTTGAGTGCTCCAGCCTCATTGTCAGAAGAAGGACCTGGATTTTACTCATGCTCCATTGTTTCCTAGCTCTGTGGCCTTGGGCAAGTAACTTGACCTTTCTGATTCTCCGTCTTCTTGTCCTTCAAATCAAGATAGGAATTCTTGTCTCAGTGATCTGCTGTGAATGTTAACTAGAATAATGAATTACTTGTGCTAATAAAATGAGAATAGGTTTGTGGTCTGTATTACATTATGTGGACATTTGTTGAATTGCACTGGCAATAGAAGGCAGAGACAGCATCTACTATGGTCCTTCACCTGATTTCACCACCTGGCAAAGCCTTTAGTATCCTACAAACTTGGGCAAATTGTTAGCCTCTCCAAGCAGAAGGAAGTTTTCTGTCCAGGGCATTTCATTCATCTGGTTTATCCCCCTTCACATGGCCAGGCCCCACTCAGGAGAGGAGCTGGCTGAAGACCACGAAGTGTGTCATTTATATATATATATATTTTTTTTCTTTATTGGTTTTAGAGAGAGAGGGAGAGAGAGATAGAAACATCTGTGAGAGAGAACATCATTTGGCTACCTCCTGTATGCCTCCCACTGGGGATCCGCCCCTGACTGGGAATTGAACCAGCGACCTCTTGGTGCATGGGGTCAACTCTCAATCACTGAGCCACACTGGCCAGGCATATCTTGATAGATGGGTCAGGGTCATAGAGACCCAGAGTGATGGTGACCTTTTGCCAGAGGAGGAGCAGGTTAAATTGGGAAGGCCTCATAGAGGAGGTGGCTTTGGAATCGAATGAGTGAGAGTTTGCATGGTAGACTAAGAAAAGAAGGCCATCTCTGACAGTCCTCAGAGGGAACAGCCAATGCAAAAGCCCTAAGAGCGAGATAGGCCTCTACACTGATAAGCTGTTTGAGGGATGGGTTTTAAACAGGGAGCAGTGGTGGGGTCCTAGTCTTCTGTTGGGATTGTACTCTGGCTCTGGCAAGGCTTGCCATTGGAGGCAGGAGGTCAGGAAAAAGGTTGTTGCAACAGTCCAGGCCTGGAGGCCTCCTGACCCTGACTTGGGCAGTGTGGGTGACTGCCGGGTTTGGGAGTGAGGGCGGGGGAAGACACTGACCCACCCACCCAGAGGCAGCTGCTGATTCTTATTTTGTCCTCATTCTGTCACAAAGAGTTTCTTCAGCCTTCTTTGGCCTCTGAAACCTTTCCAAACCCCCTTACCAATTTCCTGGTAGAGCCCCAGGAGAAGTGCACAGAGAGGGAATCCAAGACCTCAGGGGATGCATTTTGGATTCTTGTCTGTACTCGGCCCCTGCCTGGCCTTCAGATCTACTGGTGTCGCAACTCCTTTTTCTCCCCTGGTCCCTGAAATCACCCACTAGGGGGGGCAAGAACCCACATGCAGTAAGCCCCAGTGTGTGCCAGGCCCCAGGCTGCAGCTTCACTCTCTTGTGTCATCATCCCAGTGACTTGCAGGGAGCAGTGCTAGGATTCCCCTTGTCACAGATGAAGACTCAGACTGAGGGGTGAGGGCACACACAAGCCTCATGCTGGGTGAGGCACTGTGGGGTTGGAGCCCTTTCTGCCTGGCTGCAAAACCCATTTCCTGTGCCCCAGACTGCCTCCCCGTGTGTCTGCACATGCTGCCCCCGACTGAAGGGAACTTAAAAAGCTTCAGAAAGAAGACACATTGAAAGAAGAAATAGTATTGGGAGGCTTGCCTATTTCCCTGTGGATTATCCTTCTTTGGGGAGGTTGCTGGGCCCCCAGGGCCCACCTGCACCAGGGATGATGTCATGGAAGAGGCCTGGCACTAGGTGTCAGATTACCTGGATCCTGAGTCCAGCCCCTGGCCTCCCTGGCTGTGTGACCCTGAACAAATCACTGAACCTCCCTGTAAAATATATAGGGTGCCACCTAACCTGCTGATCTTGCAGGGCAACTGAACAGGTAACAATTGGGGAGGCACTGGAGACGCAGAGAGGTGTCCTTAGGTGAGATGATTGTGTTCTAAATGCCGGTTATATCTTCATATAGTACCTGCTGTGTGCCAGGCCCAGTGCTCAGCCCCAAGAACATAAAACTGAATCTAATCTCATCCCCGCCCACAGGTAGACAGACAGGTAAAGTAATTATAGTCCAGCATGATCAGTTAGCCACACAGGCCCATGTATACATTGAGGCACATGGTATAAGAAGCACTGGATTTGGTGCTAAGACCTCTGGGGTTGAGTCCTGATTACTCTACTGCCCAGCTGACAGTAATCCCCCGGTCAGAGGTTGGGGTGAGGCAGACACGAGGCGCTGGGGTAGAAGTGCGTAGTGAGCTGACGTGTTTGTACAGATGGGCGGCATTAGTGGTTCTGTTGGGAGACCAGCCCTCAAAGCTCTAGGAGTTGGCCCTGAAATTCCTTTTGCCTTGAGTTTCCAGAGCTGACTAAATGTTTGGGGGGCAGGATGTTAATGGAATTTCCACCTGGGGATTTTGTTGGCGTCAGCTTGAGTGAGCTCATGGGGAAGGGAGCAGGGTGGGAGGCGGTTAGGCACTGAGGCAAAGGCCTGTCTCAGGCCGGTGCTGGGGCTCTGGTCCAGCCCGAGGCTCTGCTCCCTGCACACCTTGTTCCTGTGCCAGGGGCTCCCTTTTGAAGCTGTGGTGAGGAGCTGGCAAATATATGGGCAAGAGATGCTGTGTTGCAGCATCAGAAGCAAGCAGCTGGGGCCAAGGGGGCCAAGCCAGAACTCCTAACCCCAGAGAGGTCTCAGGAGGGAGCTTGGAGCCTCGCCAGGAGACACCAGCACAGTTACTAGAGAATGTTGGCACAATAGTCACAGACCTGCTGGGTGCCTGGCACTGCATTGGCTT